TCAGCAGGATTAACATTGTGTATAACTACAAATAGATTTCAAAAGATAAACTATAGGGATGGGTGAAGAGCTTCGCGCGACTCGTTATCTCGATACAAACTTAATACATTTACAAACAAAACACGCATTTAAAAAAAAAAATGTAATTAACATAAGTCGCTACATAACAATACAGATGCAGATAACATTAATAGATATCGATATCCCCATAAATTTGTGGGAATTTGTCATAGATGTTCGGAATTCTACCACATTGTAACGCTAGAAGGAAATGTAATAATTTGTGAAAGATTATTAATTGATTTTCTTCCTCTAATTATCTTCTCCTCTCATGTTTCTCTTATCCTCTCAACAGTCAGAACAAGTTATTCAAGTGCACTACTCGACTTATGTTTATCCTAATGTCGTGCAAATCTTAATGATTTCGGTGAATTTTATTTATTAATGAAAAAAATGCACACACACAATCCGTAAAAACTGCTGAGTTTGCTGATGTAAAGTAGCTTAGTAATTATGCAAGGGATACTCTCATATTGGTTCGCAGGCATAATAAACCGAAACGCACTTGGATAATTTGCTGTTATTCATTTCGATTATACAACCGTAAATAAAAAAAGGTTAATATTCCTCCTCATCATCGGGCACAAGCCCGTCCCCTTCCAATTCCTCAGGTGGCGCAAAACCGTCCTAAAAAGATATAACAAATACGTTGTAGATATTGTATTTATCCGAAGGAAAATATCTCTTATAATTGCAGTTTATTATTCTATAACACTCGATATCTTGTGCATAATTATGAAGTACAAAGATATCATAAATCTGTAATAAATAAAACAGCTAAAGATAAATTTATATAATATTTTTGATCACATTAAAAAATATTGATCATATCTATAGAGTTAATTTAACAAAAAGACAGAACACAGAAACACAGAAAAATAGAACATTAAATTCAAATTTGGAAAGACCAAAACTAAATTTGTCGGATGTTGTATTGTATGATATTGCTGTTACAATAAAAGAAGTTTGAATAATGCATAGTCTAATTACTATGTGTATATTTCTAAAATTTCAAATGTACAAAGACGCACATTAAATAAAGACATGAGGGCTGTGAAAAGTATTGATATTTCTAATACACATATGATATCGCAATCGTGCAATTAATTGAAAATTTTATGACACATTTAAGGAAATATCAAGTTAAATTGTAAAATATTAAACGTGAATATCATAAAATTAGATGTCAAAATATTTTTAATGTCAGTGTCATAGATTTTTCTTAATACTTTTCGTTGTATGTTAACTACAATCAAAGCGCACAAAACGTTCTCATTACCTTATTAAAAAAAACGCGCCTGTTACAAACATATAAAAAAAGGTGCTTATAGTTTCATCTCAGTCGTCTTCTGTTCTATCATATCCTGGATATCCTATAATATTATAGCATCATATAGTTTTATATAAGCTTTAATTAAAATTCTGCTTTTAATTATCCATCTTTGCTTGTATAGATATATAAAAAAAATATAGACTTTAGTGCTTTGTTTAATCATGATGAATGATAAAAATGTGTCAACGTCTTCTTAATAAATAATAACTTTATAGCTCTCATGTCTTATATGAGATTCACCATGTTTATTAACAGAAATGAATAGTTTTTGTATTGGTTTTATATTATATAGTTTAAGCAAATATACATAAATTATATTTGTACTATAATAAAAATTAACCATCAAATAATTTGGAAGAAATAGTATGAATTACCTCCGTTGCGTAAAGGACATCTAAAATTTTCTGTACAATAGGTGGAGGATCACCGCCATTGTCGCAATCTTGACACATGACTTCAATATCACGCAATTTTCCAAAATAGAAATCTCTCTCCTTTTCCAGGCCTTCAACTGACATCTTCAATTCGACCAACTGAAACATTTCACAAACTTTCATTAAAAGGAGAAAGAAAAGATATGTACAAAGGAAATATACATTTCTCTATAAATATTTATTAAATAAAATAGTTGTATATAATGTGTACCTGTGCACTAAGTTCTTCAACCTTTCCAGTATCACCACGATTACCGACCACTGTGTTTTTGGGTTGCGCACGGTATGGTGGTGTAACTTTATTTACTATAGATAAAGAAAATATATTATTTTAAAATATTACATTAAAATATAAGTAACTATTAATATTTCTATTGATATGAATGGAAACAACTTGTATCACAATTATAACTTGAAAAAATTAACAAAACTATAGATTTGGACATATATAAGCTATGTTTGTGGAAAGCAAAAATATGCATGCAGGAA